CACATTATTATTTTGTGCAGTTGATATTCACTTGTATGTACTTGTACATATTTGCTATTTTTAGTATTCCCCTTCCTCTTTGCATTTCCATGTTTTTACTTAGCATTTCTTGTCTGAACAAATTGTTACTTTCACCTTCATTTTTGAAAATATGGTGGGCTGGTATATAATTCTAAATTAATAGTTATTTTCTTTATTTTTAAAGATGTCAAATGTTTGTTTTTTGATAAGTCAGACCCTTTGTCATTCCATTGAGAGTAATGCCATTTTTTTTTTCTCTAGGTATATTGAAAAAATATTTTTTGCCTTTTTTTTTTCTGAACAGATTTTCTATGATGTGCCTGTGATTTTCTTTTTATTTATCTTTCTTTGTTTTTGTGTTTGCTGTGCTTTTTTTATCTGTGGGTTGAATGTGTAGGTTTTCAGGTTTGAAAAAATTGTATCCATTATGTCTTTGTATACTGTATATGCCATTTTCCCATCTACCCCTCTTGTGCCTCAGATTCAAAAATATGTTAGACCTTTTATGAATATCTCACTTGTGTACTTATCCAATATTTTGTTGTTGCTTTCTTCACTGCTTCCATCTTTGTCTATTCTGTTAACCTGTCTTCATATTCATTAATTTCATCATCCATTGTGCAAAACTCTTATTAAAACAAGACTTTGAGTTATTGATTTCGGATACTGTATTTGTATGTTTTAGAATGTCCTTTAGTCTACTTTTATGGATGCAAATCTCTGATGAACTTTTCAATATCTTCACCTACATGATCATTTCTTTCCTTTAGCTTTTGAACATTTTAATAATAATTATCCAAAAATCTTTCCTACTAATTTCAATATCCGGATCATCTTACATCACTTGTCTGGTTTCTTTTCTCTTTGACATTAGCTCCATGGTCTTGTGTGCTCACATATATTGAAAATTAAGGTTTCATGTCCATCAAATATAAAAAGAACTGCAGAGATTTTAGAAAATGTTTTCATCCTCAAGAGGTCACCCTCTTCATATTTAACAGACACTATGGGGAGTTGATCTTTTCAGGATCAACTCCTTAAGATCAGGATTTAAACTGTATTAGTGCTGAGTTATAATTGTATAGGATTCAATCTACCTCTGGTTCTCCCCTGTTGTTAGAGTGTGGTCCTTCCAAACTTTCAATTATCCACCCTTTGAGTATATGCTTCTTCAGGTCTATAACACTGCAAAGGTTCAATTTTATCACCCAGAGGTTTTAGTTTATCTCTTTAGTCATATGCCCCTGGTAGGTTCAAAATAAGGCAAATGTCTTTATTTTTTTTTATTTTTTTAAAAAGATTTTTATTTATTTTTTGACAGAGAGACAGAGACAGCGAGAGAGGGAACACAAGAAGGGGGGGTGGGAGAGGGAGAAGCAGGCTTCCCGTGGAGCAGGAAGCCCAATGCAGGGCTCGAACCCAGGACCCTGGGATCATGACCCAAGCTGAAGGCAGACGCTTAATGACTGAGCCACACAGGCACCCCAGCAAATGTCTTTAAAGAGGTGACTGGCCATATATTTAAAAGCCTTCAAGTCAGTCACCAATATTCTTTCTTTGATATACTGTAACTGCCAAATTTTCTTCTGGTTTCTTTGTTCTGGAAAAGCATTTTCCAGGAGCTAATCCTACATTCTCAGCTTCTAACTCTGCCTTGAACTGATAAATGTGCCCCAGGGAAAAACAGTTGTAGAAACTGTGTCAATTCATCATTCTCTGTAGGGTTTTCCATCCTTGCCAGTTTTATTTTCAAACTCCTCCCTCTAGAGAGTTTTTGTCTTAACCTCTTGACAATCTGTGATAAATGTCATTCTGCTTTCAGAGAACTTTGAATAATTCCATAGCATCCAGCGCTATCTAAATTCAGTAAAAACCTTGTCTTAAAACTAAATGTCTTTAGGTCCATTGAATCTAGAATTTTGTCAGTCTGATCTCCACAATCGCTTAAAGTTTTGTTGGTTTTTCTTTCTTCCATCAGCTACTTTTTGTTTGGGTGAATGCACAGTCCTCAGCTTCTGCTCTAAAGCAAGAATTGTCAAATGTTCACAGAATTAAGCACATTAGTGAATAGGAAAGAAAGAAGAAAGAAGAAAGAAAGAAAGAAAAGAAAGAAAGAAAGAAAGAAAGAAAGAAAGAAAGAAAGAAAGAAAAGAAGAAAGAAAGAAGAAAGGAAGGAAAGAAAAGAAAGAAGAAAGAAAGAAGAAAGGAAGAAAGAAGAAGGGAAGGAAAGAAAGAAAGAAAGGGAGGAAGGGAGGGAGAAAGAAAGGGAGGAAGGGAGGGAGAAAGAAAGGGAGGAAGGGAGGGAGAAAGAAAGGAGGGAAAGAAAAATATGAATCCCCAGCTTATACCTCCTGCCAGGAATCTTTTTCCTTTTAGTTTTGCTGCTTTTGTGATCTGTTATGTCTTTGAAGATACAATTTAAAAAATTATTCAGTTTTCTAGTTACTATCAATGGAAGTTCTACCCTACTTCAGCATACTATTCTACCTGGAAACAAAATCCAAATGCTCATTTGATGATTTTTATTTTAATACACTTTTCAAGGCAAAATAAAAATGGTAGCATTCCGGTGTGAATTCCACATTCAGAGAAGCTCAGAGGATTTCCTGGTCTAACCTATCTATCATACACTGTGCTATGAGATGGGAGTTGTTTGTTTCTTATTTTTATTTTTTTATTTTTAAAAAAGATTTATTTATTTATTTGGCGGGGAGGGGCAGAGGGAGACAATCTTCAAGCAGACTTCCCGGTGAGTGTGGAGTCAGCGCAGGATTCTATCTCAGGAATCTGAGATCGAGTCCTGAGCCGAAATCAAGAGTCAGATGCTTAACTGACTGAGCCACCCAGGTGCCCCAGTTTGTTTGTTTTTTTAAATTTAACCCTCAGAAAACTACCACGGTGCTGTATTTCATAATTTATCTAAAAGTGCTGTATTTCATAATTATTTTTAAACATCAGATGGTTTACATGAATAGAACATGATAGATGTCTCACACATGATATCTGAGTATTCTATTGGGAAAACTAGAAAGAGAAATTTGAGATTAGAAATTCATTTGGTTTATTCCTAGATATATTATTGTTTTGGTGTAATTGTAAATGGGATTGATTCCTTTCTGCTGCTTCATTATTGGTGTATGGAAATGCGACCGATTACTGTAGATTGATTTTGTATCCTGTGACTTTACTGAATTTGTTTAACAGTTCTAGCAGTTTTTTGGTGGAGTCTTTTAGTTTTGCTAAAAAGAGTATCATATCATCTGCAAATAGTGAAAGTTTCACTTTACTTTACTTCTCCCTTGCTGATTTGGATGCCTTTTGCACTGTTGATGGGAAAGAAAACTGGTGCAACCACTCTGAAAAACAGTATGGGGTTTCCTCAAAAAGTTAAAAATAGAACTACCTTATGACCCAGCAATTGCACTACTAGCTATTTATCCAAAGAATACAAAAATACTAATTCAAAGGAATGCACGCACCCCAATGTTTATAGCAGCATTATCCACAATAGTCAAGATAATGAAACAGCCCAGTGTCCATCAACTGACAAATGGATAAAGAAGATGTGGTACAAATACCAGGTGTTGTATGGAAGTGTTGAATGACTATATTGTATACCTGAAACTAATATTGCACTGTATGTTAACTAAGTGGAATTTCAATAAAAACTTAAAAAAATTATATATATATGTGTGTGTGTGTATGTGTGTGCGTATATATATATATATATATATATATATGTAATAGGAAAAGAAATTCATTAGGTTTTCCAAAAATTTCAAGGGGATAAGGATCTTTGATTCTAGATAGTTTTTCCTGTTTACATAAATAGAAATATCACTAAAATTGAAAAGCATTATTTATTATGCACTGTTTTGATCAAAATAATGTTAAGAAATCATAAATTCATTAATCCTTCTTATATCTATTTACCTATACTTTTATTTTATAATTTGGTGGTTCTACTCTGCAAAAAGATGATGTTTTGTTTTATCAATTGTGTTGTTTCTTATCTGATGTTAGCTGCGGACTTGTCATATATGGTCTTTATTGTGTTGAGATATGTCCCTTTGGTGTCTAATTTGTTAAGGGTTTTTATCACGAATGGAGGTTGAATTTTGTTGGTACTTTTTAGGTATGTTTGGTTAAATTAATCACCAGAAGAATTATAATACCCAAGCATATAATTCTGACCTCTTGGCTAAACCTTTTTTGACCACTTGAAAATCAGTTTAACACTTTTGACTAAATACTACATAATTATACTCACCACACTCTAAGGATGTTAATTATTCTTTACTCATGTATTATTATATATACTTTTATCAGTATTTTTAATTTTATGTTGAGACATCCTTAATCTTTTATTAAAATTAAATGTTTTATGAAATGGAAGCTATTATAGGTTATGCAATTAATAAGAAACAATATTGAAAATGCATATAGGCACTCATAAAAATTCAGAAATACAAAAACCAAAACCCACAAACATAAATCAAAATTGATCTAAATTTGATTTAAAAAATCAGTAGTTAAATGAAGTTGCACATTCATGAGATTCATGCTAATGTAAAGAAGGTATAGAACAAATGCTCTCTGCATTTCCCCTCACAAATGAAACTCAGGGACCACTAGAAAAGTCTAAAGAGATATCAGAGAAATCAGATGATAAGTTCTTATATTGAGAAAGGCAAAGGCTTTCTCTCTTAAATGACTAATACGTCAGCTCAAGAGCAGGCGAGGTTCTAGTGACGATAATGCATAGTACTACAAAAAGAACCCTATATGCTTTCAGTAAAAATACTGAATCAGTGGTGATAGAAGTGAAATGGATGTCTATTTGAAGGAATAATAATAAAAAATTAAATAAAAGGCTCTCCAGTTATGTAATCATAGTCTCTTCCAAAAGGATAAAGTAGTCATTTCAATATAGTATTTCTTTTGGCAAAGTTTAAATGTTACATTAAAAGTCGTCTTACCTGATTCCTCAAAGTCACTGTTGTAGGCTTTCCAGGTTTCAGTTATTCGAAGAAGATTCTCTTCCATGGCTTGAATGTCCATGGAGGGGCAGTTGCATTCTGGGAATTTGGGACCACACTGACACCAGCAATCATTGTCCTTGCAGATAAACTCTCCCTCGGAATTGCAAGCAATGTAGCTCAATGCTGCTTGTACAAAACGTTCCTGAAGATAGTCTGGAAGGAGGACTTGTAGCCCTTAAAGAACAAACAAACAAACAAACAAAAAAGCACATACTTAAAAAAAAAAGCATAACACATTTAAAATATTCAGTAAAGGCTAATAATTTAATATATAAGTCATGGATTGAAAACTATAAATAGAAAATTATCTAAGCCAGAAAAAAAAATTATGTGAGCCTACAAAATTGCAAATATTTGTAATTCTTTTCAACATATGATGACTCTATGCACTGTTCAAGAATCCCAGAATTTATAGAGCTGTTTAAACCCTCAGATTATCTGATTTTTAAAAAATTTACTTAATTGCTCACTTTATTTATTTATTTATGTTTAAGTTTTCCAGTTAGCATACAGTGTTATATAAGTTTCAGGTGTGCAATATATTGAGTCAACAATTCCATACACCACCCAGGACACATCAGGACAAGTGCACTCTTTAATCCCCATCACCTATTTCACCCACACCCCTCTGGTAACCGTCAGTTTGTTCTCTATAATTAAGAGTCTGTTTCTTGGTTTGTCTCTCTCTTTTTTAGCCCTTTGCTCATTTGTTTTGTTTTTTAAATTCCACATATGAGTGAAATCATATGGTATTTGTCTTTCTCTTTGGCTGTTTCCCTTGTTTAGAATATTTGGTTATTTTTACATAATGTAGATCGAGCCTACCTTCCTAAACCTTTAAAAAGAGACACACACTTATTTCCCACCACTTGATTTCAAGTAGTTTTCAATATTTTCATTTTACTTTCAAACTGTCAGCCCACATTTACATAGATATCATAATACAATATGTTGTGGCATTGGTAAAAGTGTTACAGATGCTGATGGTAATGCTTACCTCATGTCATTAACAATACATAACTTATATGACTCTCTTGTTCAGGAGTGATCACTAAGACTGACTACAGGGAAGCAGATGGACTGATTTCAGTTGTTTCACAGTTGATGTCCTGGCCATGTTTTAAGACAGCCCTAGAGATAGGATCCATCACTTTCCTATATGTAAATTTAGTAATGTTGATTTCTCTTAAGAAAAAATTCAAAACTGAAGATGGGGCTATATGATTAATATTTAGGTTTCTTTACTGGTTTCACATTTATTATGATATTTCAAGAAAATATAATTCCAATTTCAGCATTTCTTTTTACATAGGAAAATTTAATAAAAAGCCTTAAATATTCAAAGTGATCAGTAAAGAAAAAAACATAGAAGGAAAAATTTGGCCAGTACCTAATTGCTATTTATTACAAAACTGGATATTTACAATTATTTTTATCTCTATATCTATATAACTACATATCCTTAAAAAAAGAAAACTAACATTCTGTAGAACCACACTAAAAATAACAAGGTTTTTTTTTTGGTGGGGGAGAAGTCTGGAGACAGACCACTCAAAACCTTGTAATTTTTTAACCAGATCAGTAACATGAACAATATTGATATTGATACTTAGAGAGATAACATCCATTGCCTTGGTAGATAAGTCAGAGTAACTGGAGGCTCTCCTAGGGATTTTTTTTTTTTTTAATGTACAAGAACAACAGAGTAAAAATACCAATAGGACTGTAATTACAGGTCTGCTTGGCCCTGAGACAATGCTTAGGGAAGCTGAGTTCTGAGCCTAGGATGTGCAATGAAAAGAAGCATCTGACAAAGGGCACTGGAAATCATAAATGATAATCTAATGGAAATTGCACAAGTAAAAATATACAAATTGGAGTTAAGAACTAATTGATGGATTTAATAGCAGGTTAGAAAGAGCTGAAGAGATAATGAGCAAACTGGAATATGCCAGAAAAAAATATTGAACACAGAATAGTAAAAGATAGCAGAAGAACATAAAATACAGAAGACAGTATAAAATATATACAGGTCATGACTGAAAGGTCTAAAAATATATTTAATGAAACCTCAGAATAAGAGGTAAGAAGGAAAAAAGCAATACTTGGGGAATAGATGCATAAGAAATTTATAAAACTGATGAGACATCAGGAAAATTGTAATTTGCATCACAGAAATATATGTTCTAGCAAGACAAACAACAAAGTGAAAATGACCAGCTGACCCGTGCTCTTCAGTGCTGCTTTGCTCTTGTACTACCTAAAGTAGTGTGAGAATCTAAGGACTTCCTTGGACATGATAAAGTTGCCACCTAAAATGTTCATCATCTATTAAATAGACCAAGAGTAGGTGATCTGTTGCATTAAAAATATTTCTATTTTGAAATAACAATATTATATTTCTTTATATACCAACAAAGCCTAATCCTGGTCAGAGCAGCAGGATGCTGCAGCACCTGGATTTCAGGATGAGGGGCATCCTGCAGCACAGCCCTATCTTCCCTGGCAACTTCAAGTCTTTCACAAGCATATGAATTTGAAACTCTGGGACTGTAATGAGTTCAAGCCAAAGAACTCAAAATAAGCAGAAAGAGAAGAGAACCGAGGCGGGGGTCTGGGGCTACTTCGGGGGTAGGACCTGGTCTCAATGACAGTAGAGAAACCTCCTCCCAAAGATAATGACATTGCCCCAGTGTCACTTGCTAGCTGCCAGGGGCCCAGGGATCGGCAGAGCTGCTGGCTGAGGAATCCCAGCTGGTGTTCCACTGCCCCAGCCTCCTGTAGGACTCTCTGGGCCAGTCCCAGGGGGGTGGTGGGCTATCGCAACAGGTGATGACCCCGCAAAGAAGAAGCACTGTTGCAGTCACTGCAAATGTTGCCATAGCTAGGATTTCAGGGACCCCGACCCAATATCCAACTGGTTGTGGGGATCCTCCACCATCTATGGGCCAAGGCTCACCCATTCCAGGCATGAGGTCTCCCATGGATCCCCCATTGGGGATCACCACTGGATGAGGAACTCCAATGCACATGCCCCCTTCAGGATGTGGCCCCCTCCCTGGGGGATGCAGGCCTTCTTTGACCCTTGGCCACAGAGTTATGGAAGCAGCTCCACAAAAGCTTGGGCCTGATTCCCCAGGGCCATCTTACCACAGACATGTTTGTTTGTTATGCCCTCGTTCTTGGTTTCTCACAGGATTGTCTGGTTTCCCCTGCAATGTCCCCTCCCCCAGGAATGCGCCCACCAAGGCCCTAGACTCATCTTGGCCCTCCTCAGCTCCTTGCCTGTTTCCTGTAAGGTTGTACATAGTCCTTTTCGTTCCTTGTGGCCCGTGAAACTAGTTCATAATAAACTATTAAGAATATCAAAAAAGGAATAGAAAAGAAAATTTGTTCCAATACATCAATAGAGAAACAAAATAGTTTTATGAAACAATATCATTCTGTTTTTATTATAAGCAAAAATAAATACATAGTGACCTATCATTAACAATTACATTAAATCTATTTGATAATAAACCAGTCGTTTGTCAATTTTGTTGAAATAAGACATTAGGAACGAACTGATCTGGAAAAGTATTTGTTACTCAATCATATGAATCATTCACATCTCAGTTTCTGGGAATTTTACCAAAAAGTTATTACCAAGACTCAATAAATGACTTTTCATTACTCCTTTACCTTTTCACTCAGAAGTACCTTGTTTGATATGTTAAATTTATAAAGGGTTGAAAACATTGGAATGTTATTAATCTCAAAACATATTTTCTAATACTTCCTTAAGAGTTACTTTTTTTTCATATATATTACATATATTGTCATCAATAATTTGGATTTGTAGATATGGCTTTTTCAATTTTGAACTGCTTATTTGTAATCTAGTTGGCAAAACAGATCTCAAAGTCAAACAAACAGGTAAATCCAGCTTACTCACTGCCAGAAAACATTTGATTTCATTTTTTTAAGTCAGAATTAACATACTATGTGCATCCCTTTGACATCTCATTTCTGAATGTTAATTCTAATATAGTTAAGTCAAGGAGTTTTGTTCTGAATTTGTTGCTTAATGTTTTTACTTTTAATAATTCTTATTGATGCTTTCTTTGCTCTGATAAAATTCTACTTTGAGACACCAGTGTTTCCAATTGCCACATACAGTGACCTAAAATCTTTTATACCCTTCATGTATCATGGTAGCATTGATCTAGAATCTAATGCTTTGCATTTTTTTTTTTTAAGTGGAGAAGGGCTGCTATTAAAGGTGGGGTTGAAAACGTGACTCAACCTAAATACTTAGACTATACATATATATAGATGAAGTTTAAGAAAGAACACATGGGAAGTTGAGGAGTCTGATACTGATTCCCTGAGATTATCTTTGGAAAGGTCTTTGTACCACAGGTATATAAATAAAGTTGTAATAGACAATTGAAAATATAAGCCTAGAAAATAGAAAAAGACAAGAAATAGACGTGCAGATATCTGCATTACTTACATAAATTGAAAAAAATAGACACAATAATTATTCAAAAGAAAAGTGTTACTTCACTTATTCCTTTGTTAGTTTTTTTTCAAGATATATAGAAGATTGAGCTTTGTTTTTATAATATTCTGAAAACTAAGCACAGTGCGTCACAAACAGTAAAAATTAAAAAATCATGTTAATAAATAAATTTTAATAAATCAATTAAATAAACATCTTTTTGATATAAATATTCTTTTTCCTTTTTGATGAAACTTAATATTCTGAGGGCAAGTTGATCCATACATTTAAAAAGGAGTAAGCAATAGAGAATTACAAGTAATATTGGTAGAATGCATTTGTTTAAATTAGAAACAATATTTCAATAACTTTAAATCTAAGATTGATAATGAGAAATTGGATGGCATTTAAACTGTAAATTTTTAAGTACTTCCTTTGTAATTTGTTTACAATTCAAAATAGATGAGATTCATTTATTATTTATCATAAATTTAAATAACCCAAAGCTTTTACATTTTTCAAAATCGAAAAGTTGAGGTAAAATGTGAGAATTTCTGGAACTTTTAAACATTCTTATGTAAAACCGAATAATGTAAATGCAGCTCTAACTTACGCAATTAAAAAAGGTAGACAAGAGAAAAGGTAGACTAGAGAAGAATAACAAAATTATCCCTTTGATCAGTCACCTTAGCTTAGACAATGTGTCATCAAAGACTTTTCTGAACTTCTTCAACTAGTACATGTTTAAATGTGTATTCATAACCTTTTGTACCTATATGAATAAGTAAGTACACACACCAATAACCTATTTGGGGGCAGTATATATCTTTTGCAAGTTATTTAAAAATCCTCTATTGAACTATCTAACAAAATAAAGGAATAGAAAAAAAAATAAATTATGACCATTATCACATAATCCATTTTTATAATGGGGATATAAATATTATGTTAATATATTCTCAAATATGTTTCTATCAGAGGATAAACCCAGTTCTAGCTACCATATTAGGTTATATTTAAAATGTCAGCAGTTCATGCTACCGTGTACAAAAGTATGGTTACAACTTTTACTAGAATCTCAGGAAAAAGTCAAAACCCAGACAGACCATTGAAAAACTGCTACATATTGAGAAAATGATTACTCTATGGAAGTAAAAATATTATCACGATACATTTTCAATTACTATAGATTACTTATCTTAAGAAGTAAAGTGAATTTTGACATTTCCTTTATATGGTCTAGAATGTTAGTATCAGTTAAAAATTAGGAAATTAACCTTTTATGAGAATTTTAATAGCCTAGTACTGCATATACAGCTTGTTTACAACAACAAAAACAACAAGATGAAGAAGAAGAAGAAGCAAGAAATCACAACTGGATAATTATTATCCAGACTGATAGAGGATTAATGTAATTTTAGCCACATACCTTGCAACTGAATCTTATTCTCAGGACTCTGAACCAGAACAGAACTGACAGAATCTAGGTTGTCATAGTTACTGCAGCCAAGAGGACCAGTCCGTGTTTCTGTTACCTGACAAACAAAACATCAACTTTATTATATAAATCAGAGTTTACCATGTTCTTTTGGCTCAATGTGGTTGTCACACACTGATATTATACGTCTGATGGTAAACATCACTGAAAGGCCTAGGATCTGATACATACCAACAATATACACACCTAAGCACAGAGAAGACAAATAACTCCCTTTTTCTTCAATTCCATTTTCTTCCCTTTGGCCAGGCATAAATCTTTTGGGAAAATAACAGAAGCCCTCTTTGGTCAAAAGCATCACTCACCTAAGGTCATTGATTTTACCCGAGATATGACAAGGGCATGCTCCTTTAGATAGAGAGCAAGTTTTGACTCATATGAGAATTGTTTTTTGTTTGTTCATTTTTCCTCAATAAATCAGACCTATCTGTCAGGATTCTGTCTAAAAATGGATTTTATTATTTTATTCTACTTAAAAATTTATAATTTTCCTGTCTTACATGTGCCATCAAAGTCCAAACTCTTCTCCTTGGCTTCTATCTGTTCCATTTCTCCCCAACAGGCATAAATTGCTGTCCAGCTGGACATTTTTTTTTTTTAAGATTTTATTTATTTATTTGAGACAGAGAGAATGAGAGAGAGAGAGCACATGAGAGGGGGCCTCGAGGGTCAGAGGCAGAAGCAGACTCCCTGCCGAGCAGGGAGCCTGATGCGGGACTTGATGCAGGGACTCCAGGATCATGACCTGAGCCAAAGGCAGTCGCTTAACCAACTGAGCCACCCAGGCGCCCCCAGCTGGACATTCTTAATCCTATGCCTTTGCTTATACAACATCCTCCATACAACATCCTCCATCCTCATCCCTCTTTTCTCCTCTTTGACTAATTGATTTTATCTATCCTCAAGATGAAGCACATTTTCAAACATCCGCACCAAGTATTCCTTAATTACTTTCACTTGTATTTTTTTCCATTTTTATAAAGTTGTAGTTTGTAGTGCTCAGTTTTAGCACCTAAGTATGGAATCACATATTGAGGACTGATATTTCTAATGGGTGTCTTGGGAAGTATAATATCAGAAGATGAGGAGTTTAGTCAATTATGGGAGACTGGAAGTTTATCCTCAGTATGAGTTAAAAAAACATATTTTAAAGCAGGAGAATATTGTAGTGATCTTTGTATTTTAAAAAGATACTCTCTACTCAACAACTAGAATGTTTTGCAAAAAATAATTCAGATAATTTTATTTCACCATTCACAACTCCATGATGGTCTTCCATCTTACTGAGGGTAAAAGCCAGAGCCCGCCCTAGAACTAAAAAAATGTCACATTATCCAATTATCCCTGTTACTTCTCTGAACTCATCCCCTCTCCTCTTTTCCTAGTTTACTTTGCCCCAACTACACTAGTTCTTTGCTGTTCCTTGAACATGTTAGTTATCCTCCTGCCTCAGGATTTCTGACGTGCTGTTCCTGTGTCTGGAATGCTCTTCCTCAAAATATTTTTAAGCTCACTGTTTCACTTCCTTCAAGTTTTTGTTCAAATGTCATTCTCTTAGGACTCTTTGGACTAACCTATTTTAAATGAATACACCTCCCCACACTTCCCTCTTTCAACCATTATTTCTTTTCCTCCTTACCTTGTTCTACTTTTTCCACAGTAGTTATCAGCTTCTAACATGCTGTATAATTTACTCATTTATCATGATTACTGCTGACACTTCTCATTCGAATGCAAGCTCCACAAAGTTCAGGAAATACTACCTATTTTGTTCACTATAGTATCTACATCACATATTAGGTTCTTGTATAAGCCCATAGGCATTAATTAAGAGAAAGAGAAGGAGACAGTTTAAAGGGAAATCATAACAAAGAAGACATTGAGGCCATTATCTAGATGATAAAGGCCTGAAGGAAGCAGTGGCAATAAGATTTATCTGAAGAAGATGGATTATGAAAAACAGATCTGGTAAGATCATGAAACACTGAAAATATACACAATGGAGAGAGGGAAAGGAACTGAGGTTTCTAGCATAAGTGATAACATTAAGATATGTTGCAACTAAAGCTCCACTGTGGAGAACATGTAAGGGAGCTTGGCTTTGAGCATTCTGACTCAAAATGGAATACATTCTCCATTGGAAACATCCAGTAGAAGGAGTGACCCTGCAGAACTATTTCTTAGAATTTATGTCAAAGATGGGATTACTAACTTGGGAGTCAAAAACTTATAGGTAATAATCAAAGACAAAAGGATGGATATGTCAGCTGGGATGCATTGAGTGAATGTGTAATTTGTATCATGACAACTCTATCATAGTTTGTAAATAACAAGTTCTTTAGAATAATGAATATTGACTATGGGTGCATAGCAACAGTTGAGAATGCAGTTTATCATGGGCAAGGCAACACTTTTTCCCTAACATTACACCAACTTTGTATACTCCCTACCACTGTTCTCTCATGGTGATACTGACCATCCCTTATTTTGTTCAGGGGAAATCATTTCTAATGTTGATATATCTAACTTATATGTATGTGTGTGTGTATAAATAATATTTAAATATAAATGATTATTGGGCGCCTGGGTGGCTCAGTCGGTTAAGCGTCTGCCTTCGGCTCAGGTCATGATCCCAGGGTCCTGGGATCGAGTCCTGCATCGGGCTCCCTGCTCAGCCAGGAGCCTGCTTCTCCCTCTCCCACTCCCCCTGCTTGTGTTCCCTCTCTCGCTGTCTCTCTCTGTCAAATAAATAAATAAAATCTTAAAAATAAATAAATAAATAAATAAATAAATAAATAAATATAAATGATTATTAACAAAAGGATAAAAAGAGGATTCAAGGCATCAAAGGAAATACTTAAGGTTTAAGGTCATTTAAATCTTCATGTTGTCCTATCAAGTAGTCTAACTATTGTCCCCTAATACACACGAACAGACACACACTGCAATCATATAAACAAACTCCAGTATTTGTAATTTTAAGGGAAATTTTAAAATAAAATTGGCTTCAGGCACACACTTATTGACATGTGAGATCTTGGAAATTGGAAGGCAATCTTCTAACCTTTGAAAGAGGATAAATAGTAGTAAGTCCATCTCTGTACAGACCTTCAGTTATATTAAGTTACTGTGTTATCGAGAATCAATGCAGGAAATTTAAATGATGAGCTTATTAATTTAGAGGCTTGAATATATCTCTCTCTATATAGATTGTTTTTTTTTTTTTAAAGATTTTATTTATTTTTTTGACAGAGAGAGACATAGCGAGAGCAGGAACACAAGCAGGGGGAGTGGGAGAGGGAGAAGCAGGCTTCCCGCAGAGCAGGGAGCCCGATGTGGGGCTCGATCCCAGGACCCTGGGATCATGACCTGAGCCGAAGGCAGACGCTTAACGACTGAGCCACCCAGGCGCCCTATATAGATTGTTTTAATCTGGCACCTTTCACAATATACAATAAAAAAATCTATCATGTCCTATATATAATTTTATTTTGTTCTTTATCATTCGCAACTGAATTCACTGATAATTGTCTGATTTAATATAAAAATTCACAAACTCTAGTACAGCCAATAATGCAAACCCCTTATTTTCAATTGCTTTATATTTAAGGCCCCTACTAATAAATACATCCACACTTATTTTGTTTTTTCAATGCTAATGAAAAATAAAAATGAAAAGAAAATAATAAAAGTCAATTTATTGTACAAACATTTCAATAGACATGTTAACTCTACCAAAAACGTAGTTGTGCCACAGACAGCTTGAACTTTTGTTCATCAGCTGGTAGACGAACATCTGACATAGAGGTTTTCATATATAATGTAAGAAATAAAGAGTGACTCAATAGATAAACATAAAAATGAATAAAGCTGACAACAATCCAGTACTGACAGCATTCAGTGTTTTGGGAATTGATGTATCAAATGAGAAAACACTCGTTATTTATTTATTTTATTCATCTATTGGAAGGAGGATATTGAAAGCAAGGGAATGTAGTCTTTAGGATCCCAAAATAATGCTCTTTCTGAGGTGTTACTGTAGTTTGTGGTTGGGTCTGAGCACCAGGAGGAAAATTCACTTGCTGAGAGACTGGGAAGCTGAGGGACCTGTGTGGAGTCCACAAACATGGAAGATAGGACTCAACCAGCTGTAGAAAGTAAAATCGAACCTTCAAGATCTATTAAGGACAAATTTGTCTTCAAAATATAACAGATGTGTTCTTTCCTTCTATAACTGACTTATCAGAGAGGAGAGGCACTTGGGTGGCCCAGTCGGTTAAGTGTCTGCCTTCAGCTCAGGTCATGATTCCAGGGTCCTGGGATTGAGCCCTGAGTTGGGCTCCCTGCTCAGGGGGGAGCCTGCTTCTCCCTCTCTTCCCTGCTCATGCTCTCTCTGTCTCTCTCTCAAATAAATAAATAAAATCTTAAAAAAATATATATCAGAGAGAATAAAAGATCCTTTCAACTTTTCCTATCTTGTTTCTATATTGTTTCATTAAAGTATTGCCTACTATTTTCACAGTTGGAGAATTTTACAGAGTGTAAAAGAAAAATGCACAGCCTTCCTAATTCAAAGAGATGCCTTGAAATAATTATATTAACAAATGGTATAAGTTCAAGTTTATTTAGAGTACAAGAAAATGGTACAAATAATTCACTTGGAAATAAACAATCTTTATGATTTTCTATCAAATTTCCCTACAGTCTTACATATTCTAAAGACGATATAATGCCACAGCAATGCACTGGAGTTATGAAAATAATTCAGCGAGAACTAGTTGAAGAAAAACTATCTGAAGCAAAAACACTTTTTAAAATATTAAAACAGTGAAGAAAGTGGGACAAAAGAAGAGCCAACAAACAAAAAAACATAACACATTTCTAAATGAAAATAGTACTATTAAAGAGTCCATCATCTTCACACTCAGACATTATATATTTAAAATATTTGCAGTCAAAATCATAGTAATGTTACATAATTTGAAGAAAATAGACTGAAATAAATGTGTTCGGGTCACTATCCTAGCTCCACCACTT